TGAAACAGTCAACATGAGGAGCAGATGATGTTTGTTCTTAACTTAAAAATTTGCTTCTTTTTCAGGTCTTTAGATAAAACTTTCATATTCTCCTTTAATGTCAATCGACAAGCAAAATAGTAAAATGGTAAATGGCATGTACTTATATAGCGCCTTTTTATAAGTCAGGTAACTTGACCAAAGCGCTTTACACTACATTCATTCACCCATTCACGCACACACTCACACACTGATGGTGGCAAGCTACATTGTAGCCATAGCTGCCATGGGGCTCACTGACAGAAGCGGAGAAAGGCATGCAGCAAAGGACAACATGCTGGATTCAAGGCCACGTCTAGGACTAAGTCCTCCATACATGGGTTGTGCATGCTAAGACTGTACCACCGTTGCACGCCCATAATGCAGTAAGAAGTTAGACGGAATAAGTGTTGGAGTCTGGAATTCATTCACTGCACTTTCAAGCTGTAATGATTTAATTAATTTAAAAATGATTAAATTCGACAAATTTTATCAGCCCTTCGTTTTTGTTTTTAATGTCTTTAGTATCACATCTTTATTTCTGTAATAGGTAGCAAACAGCTACTGTATCCTACAGGTGGGAATCAGTGAATGTAGATGTAGCTTTATCCTGTGTGTTCTTGGCTGCAGCTCCAGGTCTGTGAGCTGATGTGAAGTGAGCATGATGGATCATTGTGAGGACACAAAGGACAGAGTCTCTACCTCTAAAACCACTCTGTGTGGAGAACATGAGGACCAGAGCAAAGCTCAGAGGTCAGATCGCCTTATCTAAATGTCAATGACTGTTCTCCATGTCAGAGCTCAGCAAGAATATCACCAAACCGTATTTATACGCAGGAAACAACCAGAACCTGAACCAGAACCCAGCTGTGTGTCTTTAAAGAGCAACATGTCAAAAGGTGTCGGCATTGATTTTAAATCAGACCAACCGTCATCATCAAACAGGTGAGCTGTTTCTAAATGTTCCACTAATTAGTTTAAACTTACTTCATTCCAACGCATTAATGTGAACACAACTCTTTCTCTCATGTCTGTGTTCACATTTGAAGCAGTAATCGACAGAGGTTAAATAATGGAAATAATCAAAGGATTGTTTTATTGTGATGAAATTAAATGATCTTGTTAGATGATATTGAAGCTAAAATCAGTTGTCCTTCCATCCAGTTGAATCTTTCAGGATCACCTGGATCAACTCTGGTTCACATTAGTTGGTACTTCTGCAGAGCTTAAGGTGATGCACATGTAGGCAAGTCATGATGCTGATTTATCTATTAGATGGAATCTAAATCATCCAAACTAAATCTGATGGAAAAAAAACACGATCTCTCACTGTTATCTGCAAATATCAGTGAAAACAGCAGCTTCTAAAGTTAATCTGTTCATTCAAAATCTGAAATAAGTCAAGGTCTGAATATTAGCAAACTGCTCCACAGTCTCCCTCAACAACTGCTTCATGTCATTAGAAATACAAGATCATTGACCTGCTGCTTAGAGTAAGTTTGAAGTTTGGTGATAACAAAATGAATGATAGGAAATTTAATGTGGATTGCAATATTAATGAAAGTTCCTTGAATGCACCACCATGTTCCGTATTACGATAAAAAGCCTATTAGAAGTTCAAAAATAGTCAGCTGAGAGTAAAGCTGCTGCTGTAAAGGGGTTTGATCATCAGTTTAAGACTAGAACAAGTGAAACAAACAACTAGCAGATAAATGAACTTGTTTGTCCATCAGAAGTTATGACTCTGATCCAAAGGTTTAAACTTAGTCAGGATAAGAAATCAGGCAGAAGATATACTGGGCTCTTGGAGGCTTGGAGGGCCAGCTGAGGGGTCTTGTAGATTAACTATCCCCAAGGTTCAAATCGGAGACCACTTCATTTTTGTGCTCAGAGGTCTCTGGACGGAGCAGAGCAGGTTAAGGGGTCTCTGGACGGCACAGAGCTTGCTCAGGGATCCCTGGACAGCACAGATTCTGGTCCATAATAGGGCACTGGCCGCTCTGGGCTCTGGCGCTAGAGGAACTGGCCCGCTAATGGGCTCTGGTGCTAGGGGATCTGGCCCGCTAATGGGCTCTGGCGCTAGGGGATCTGGCCCGCTAATGGGCTCTGGGGCTAGGGGATCTGGCCCGCTAATGGGCTCTGGCGCTAGAGGAACTGGCCCGCTAATGGGCTCTGGTGCTAGGGGATCTGGCCCGCTAATGGGCTCTGGCGCTAGAGGAACTGGCCCGCTAATGGGCTCTGGTGCTAGGGGATCTGGCCCGCTAATGGGCTCTGGCGCTAGGGGATCTGGCCCGCTAATGGGCTCTGGTGCTAGGGGATCTGGCCCGCTAATGGGCTCTGGCGCTAGGGGATCTGGCCCGCTAATGGGCTCTGGTGCTAGGGGATCTGGCCCGCTAATGGGCTCTGGCGCTAGAGGAACTGGCCCGCTAATGGGCTCTGGTGCTAGGGGATCTGGCCCGCTAAAGGGCTCTGGCTCGGGATCTGGCCCGCTAAAGCAGGCATCCCCAACCTCGGTCCTCAAGGCCTGCTGTGCTGCAGATTTTAGAGGTTTCCTTGTTCCAGCACAGCTTATTTTAATTGAAAAGTTTATTAACAGCCTTTTGGTCTACTGCAATCATTATAATCAGCTGTGCCAAAGCAGGAAAACCTCTAAAACCTGCAGGACAGCGGGCCTCGAGGTTGGGGATATCTGTGCTAAAGGGCTCGGGATCTTGCCCACTAAAGGGCTCTGGCTTGGGATCTGGCCCGCTAAAGCAGGCATCCCCAACCTATAGGTCTTTCCTTTGCCCATAACAGAAGTCCCTTATTGGAGACTCCTCAATATAGGGAGCTCCGACTGCAGGGGGTGTGATCATGGATACTGTTTTAAAACCCCCAACTCGTGAAGCTAGCTGCTGGTCATGGAGGTGACGACCTAGGCCATAAGCGAAACTAACCTGGTAAGAGAGGGAACTGAAGCAGACGTCAGGCTGACCCGCCGAGGGAGTGGAGGTGTCAGGCTGACCCGCGAGAGAGGTGGTAGAGGCGTCAGGCTGACTCGGCATAGAGGGAGTGGAGGCATCAGGCTGATCAACCGAAGAGGGAGAGGTGGCGTCAGGACGAACCGCTAGAGAAGGACCTTATTTCCCTGGCTGCGGTGCTTACGCCTGGAGGTGGGAAGGTGATGAAGTGAAGGTTTGGGTGGTGGAGGTCTATTGAAGAGTTGGGCGCTGGCTGCTTGATGGTTCCACTCCAACTCTTCAAACAGTTCTGATAACACTGGGGGAGAAATTAATGTGGATTTAGAGAGGAGAATCTGCTTGAGTTGGGCAGCCGCACTTACCCTCTCCCAAGGCGGGCTGAGATTGGCAATTGAGTTCCAAGTATTTCCCAGATTGAGGATGAAACCCCTCAGGAAGCCCACCCCCGGCTCTGCTGGGTCCATTTTGGTTGGACCATCGCCCGCCTTGGGAGATGGATGATGTCCTAATCTGGGGGATGATGCAGCAAGTGCACAATGGCAGACTAAGAAAGGTACTGTTTCGACTCATGAAGTTCGTCCCAGACCTGGAAGAGAAAACCAGACCTTTGAGAAGTCTTCTGAAGAAGTCAAACATATAGCAAAAAGCATTCAACACCATTAAAACAGATCTGACAACACCACCAGGACCAGTGTTGTGCTTGAATGCGTTCATTGAACGAAAGTTCATGAACTCGTTCATATTTTGGGCGAACG